TTAGCCTGGACCGATCTCCCTCTCTCACTAATAGGTAAAATTAATCTAATAAAGATGAAATTACTTCCCTCCTTATTGTATATAATCTGCCATACTCCAGTTTGAATCCCACGGAAGTACTTTAAACAATTTGAAACAGCAATGGTTTCTTTCTTGTGAGGCTCGAGACAACCTAGATTTAAATTGAAGGTGCTACAGAGACCATGGACCAAGGAGGAGCTGGCATTTCAAGATTTGTTTACTTATTATATTGCAGCATTGCTCTCCCATGCTCATAATTGGATAGCGGCAGATGAGACTAATGCTGCTATGGTTTTGGAAGCGACTTCCCTGGGATTCTATGAAGCCCTAGGAAATCTTCTATATAGAGGGCCTTTGGCCCCCTTCCCTTTTACAATGTCCATGAGGGCACTCCTTAAAGCCTGGCATTTACAATTCCCCCCACATACTCAAATTTGGTTCCCCTTTACCCCTTTATGGTTGAATCCCTCCTTGTCAGAATTCTTCCTCTTCCCGGAACCCTCAGTTTGGGCCTCTAAGGGTATTAAGTATTTACAACAGATATGTGAAGGGAGTGTGCTTAGAACTTTTGATTCCTTGAAAGCTCAATATGCCCTTCCTAACTCATATTTATTCCGGTACCTCCAATTGCATCATGCCTTTCACCAACAGTTTCATGGTCAACCCCTTCTATTTGTAGTATCTGGTTTTGAATCTCTACTGAGATTCAAAACCAGATACTACAAACTGGTTTTGAATCTCTACTGAGAGATGCCTCCCTCGTAACCTCTCTCCTCTATATATGTGGCCTTAAGGCCGTCTATTCATGAAGGCCTTGACAGGCTTCTCTCTGCATGGCGTGGAGAGGTGCTGGAGCTAGACTCAGAGGATTGGGAGGAGATATGGGAATATCCTATGCAACAATTGGTCTCTACCTTTGACCATTTGATTCAGTAAAAAATTCTTCATAGAGTTTATTTTACCCCACATAGGTTGCACAGGGTGTTTTCATTGCACCCCTCTAGATGTTGGCATTGTCTAGAGGACCCAGCATCTTTTCTGCATGTTTTCTGGAGCTGTCCTATTATTCAGACCTTTTGGGCGCAAGTGGTTAACAGTATTTCCTCCATAACTACCATCTCAGTGACAATGTCCATTGATGTTTGTCTTCTGGGATTAGTTCATTTACTGGCTGTCTCTCGGTCCATGAAAACTCTGCCTGGCTTGCTACTTTTCTATGCCTGTAAGGCTATACTTTTAAAATAGAAGTTTCCCCAAGCTCCCACCTCTGATTTTTGGAAGCACTTGGTTAATACGGTCCTTCCACTCTATAAATACACCTATGAATCTAGGGGGTGCCCTGCAAAATTTACCAAAGTTTGGCATATTTGGATTGAATCGAGGGACTCTGTTGCCTCCACTTCCGACCAGGGTTAACTCAGGTGTGTCTAGTCCATTTATAGTTAGAGATAGTTGTGATTAATTTTGTATCCTAACCTCCACAACTTCTTTATATGAATATGGATTAAGTCTACGGTGAATACATTCTACCATTTTATTGGGTGCAGTTGCCTTTTGTTGTTGTTCACTGTGTTTGAGTTGATTTTTTTTTTTGTTTTTCTTTTATGTTGTTGTGACCTAAGCCTGGGTATGCCCAATAGGCTTTGTTTTGTAATTAACAACAAAAAATTTCTATTATACTCAATAAAGAGAAATTTTATATATATATGTATATATCAGGGGCAGACTGACAACTCATGGGGCCCCCGGGCAATAGGGGATCATGGGGCCCCTGTGTCCTTGCCCAAACTCAAAAAAGCCTATGAAAAAGGTTCCAGGGGCATCTCATTGGGCCCCCTACTGACCCCAGGCCCTCGGGCAGTGCCCGAGTTTCCAAATTATATATATATATATATATATAGGTTTCTACTGACATACTCTTTATCTATCTCTAATGGTTTTGATGTGACATGTTTTTATTTTAATTTTAGTAAATATATATTCAACCATAAATATACCTCAATCTGCAAATAGTAATATCAGATTGTTATAACCATATAAAATTGGCTTCACCATTAAGCTAATTTTAATGCACATTATTGCAACACAGAGAAACACAAATCGTCTAAGAAAAAGAATATAGTTTGATATATATAGAAATGATTCACAGTATATAAAACTCATACAGAAATATGTGTGAATGATTCAGAACCAAAGAAACCTCCAGTGAAGTTGCTATTAAAAACCTCCTATTAGGAAGCCTGTTCAAGATTACTAACCTGTTTTAGTGAAGTATCCTGTGTTATAGGTTTAAAGACTATAGAAAATTAAAGAGACTTTGTCACTTTCATTTTTACAGCCATTGCAAAATTCCCAGTACTTCCCAGTATGAGGGAGCATGTCACTTCCTCCTATGAAGGAGGGTCCATGCTCAGCAGCCAATCACCAGGCCTAATTACTGTTTTATGGCAGAGGAGGTGACATTACTAACCCTGTGTAAGATCCAACACCAGCCAACACAGTCACTAAGTTTACAGTCACATTGCAAACATACATACAGTGTAAGTGTGTTGACTTTAACCTGTTCCCGCCCGGGCTAATAGCAAAATGATGGCCAAGTGGGACTCTCGTCGATCTGGGTGGGTGTCATATGACATTCTCCCAGATCGCACCTCGCATGTGCCTGCGGGGCTGTGCTGTGGCAAGATCTGTCACCGGCTGTGTACTTCAGACACAGCTGATAACAGATCTGTTTACTGACCCATTGCCAGTACCATGTGACTACTGTGACCAATCACAGCAGGTCACATGACAGTTGTAAACACTGGATGGCTTCCTTTCATGCCATCTATTGTATACAATTGTGTAACTAGCTGTGATTGGTCGCAGTGATCACATGTGCAGACAGGACCAATCACAGCCCATCTGTGAAAGCTAATCACAACAAAAAAACCTGAATGAATCGATTTCATTCAGATAAATGCTTGCTCATAGCAAAGAAATTGTTTGTTATAAGCAATCATAAAAAAAATACTGATCACTTCCCCAGAGTAGTACAATGTTACTATGGTAACATTATACTACTCTGGTTACAGTGTGTTATAAAAAAATATATATATATAATAAAAAAATTAAATATTAAAAATGTAAAATGAATATTAATATATATTCTTTTTGTTTCATACTGTCACCAATCAGTCTCCCTGATAACAGCCACACCAGTTATATGATGATGCTGTACAGCACAGGTGACAGTATGTAAAAAAAAAAAAAACATTTGTAAAAAAACATTTTTTAATTTCTTAATTTTCCAAGAAATTATGACAAAAAAAATTACAACTTCGAAAAAAAACTTGCCATGCCTCTTACTTAATACCTCCTATTATCTACTTTGCAAAAAGGGGTCAATTGGGGGATATCTGTAATGTCCTGACATTTTTGGGCCTCAAGAAATTAGATTGGCCATCAGTAATTCAGGATTGATCGATTTTCATATATATACCGTAGTTTGTGAACTCTATAACTTTCCTACAGTCTAAATAATACATCCTAATTTGGGTTATTTTCACCAAAGAAATGTAGCAGAATACATCTTGGCCTAAATTTATGAAGAACAATTATTTATTTGCAAATTTTTACAACAGAAACTAAAAAGAATGTTTTTTTTTTTCAAAATGTTTGGTCTTTTTTCATTAATTTAGCAGAAAAAAAAAAAAAAAAAAACAGGGTGTTATTAAATACCACCAAAAGAAAGCTCTAGTTATGTGAACAACATGATAAAAATTCATCAAGATAGTATATGGCGAGCACTGTGTATAACAAAAAGCAGCTAGCACAAGAGACAAAGACAGTAAATCTCACAGTAACATATGTGTGTAAAGTGCAGCGCTAAATCATATAATAAAACATCCAAGAGTTTTGCAAAACACCAAATAAAGTTTATACATAGGTGCAAACAGAAATATAAACATCAGTGAAACAATAAAGGAATAAAGTCCATACGGTGTAAAATATAGGTGCTAGTGTATATCACAATAACAAGGTGACAAAGTATACAGTAGTCCATATATGTGTCAGTGGTACTGCAAGACACAAAGCAGCAACGTGTCCAACTCCAAAACAGTGCCAGGGGATCCAGTGAACACTCCACCAGTACTATGCACTCACCAGAATGCTACTGGTATAGTAGCAATGATCGATGGTCAATCAGATACAATGTTCATAATCCTTAGCTAGAGATCATCCTAGAAGGAAAGTTTCCCACACGGTCTTTTGGGCTTTGTGTGGTGGGCTTTTCTTCTAGGAGGATCTCTGGCTAAGGATTGTGAACATTGTATCTGATTGACCATCGATCATTGCTACTATACCAGCAGCATTCTGGTGAGTGCATAGTAGTGGTGTGGACGCTGTTTTGGAGTTCGACACGTTGCTGTTTGTGTCTTGCAGTACCACTGACACATACTGTATGTGGGCTATACTTTGTCACATTGTTATTGTGATTTACACTAGCACCTATATTTTACACCGTATGGACTTTATTCATTTACTATTTCACTGATGTTTATGTTTATGTTTGCACTGTGTAAACGTTACTTGGTGTTTTGCAAAACTCTTGGATGTTTTATTATAAGAGTTGGCGCTGCAATTTACGCACATATGATAAAACTTTGGTTTGGGCACAGCGTTGCATGACCGCGCAATTGTCATTCAAAATGCGATAGCGCTGAAAGCTGAAAATTGGCCTGGGCAGGAAGGGGGTAAATGTGCCTGGTACTGAAATGGTTAAGGAGACTTTGTAACTCTGCCCTGAATGGCAAAGTCTGTTTAACCGCCTCCCGCCTGCCACATAAGGTAATGACAGGCACAAGGTGGTTCTCTTTTCTGGAAGGACGTCATATGAAGTTCTCCCACTCTAACTGCGCATGCGTGCCCCCGGGACACAGCAGATCACCGATCAACAGAAACAGCTGAAGATGTCGGCTCTGTCATGTGATCAGCTTTGTCCAATCACAGCTGATCACATCTAATAAGGAAATGCTGGTTATCGGCATTCCTTTCCTCACGAGCTGTCACGCTGACAGCTTGTGAGAAGAGGATAGCTGGTAATCGGCATTCCTCAGAGGGGACATCTACACTGTTCATCAGGGCACTGATGATCAGTGTAGCCCCATCAGTGCCACCTGTCAGTGTACACCAATGCCACCTGTCAGTCCCCATGAATGCCACCTGCCAGTGCCCATCAGTGCCACATCAATGCTACATATCAGTGCCTACTAGTGCACATCAATGCCACATATCAGTGCCCATTTGAGCTGCCTTTCAGTGCCACCTATCAGTGCCAGTCAGTGCCGCCTATCAGTGCTGCCAATCAGTGCCAATCAGTGCCAGTCAGTGCCACCTATCAGTGCCAGTCAGTGTTGCCTATCAGTGTGCATCAGTGCCGCCTATCATTGCCCGTCAGTACTGCCTATAAGTGCCAGTCAGTGCCACCTATCAGTGCCAGTCAGTGCCGCCTATCAGTATCAGTGCCACCTACCAGTGCCTCCTCATCAGTGTGCATCAGTGCCGCCTATCAGTGCCCATCACTGCAGCCTCATTGGCGCACATCAGTGAAGGAGAAAAATTACTTATTTACAAAATTTTATAGCAGAAACTAAGAAAAAACTTTTTTTCTCAAAATTTTCAGTTGCTTTTGGTTTGTTTAGCAATAAATTAAAAACCCAGAGGTGATTAAATACCACCAAAAGAAAGCTCTAGCTGTCTCAAAAAAATGATAAAAATTTCATATGGATACAGGGTTGCATGACCGCGCAATTGTCATTCAAAGTGCGACAGCGCTGAAAGCTGAATATTGGTCTGGGCAGTAAGGGGGTATAAGTGCCCTGTAGGCAAGTGGTTAATATCATTATTATTTTAGTTTTTGTTTCATAGAGGAAAGAGAATACCAAGGTAATATTTTATACAGTTCAAAAAGTATTAACGGTGTTCAAGCTATGCTAAGGATGGCCATATGCAGCCAGATGAAAGCAATGCAAAGGATTTGAGCATAGCTTGTGACCATAGGGCTGTAAAGAAGTGCAGAGCCAAGAATTCCTGAATGTGGGAAATATTATACAACTTGTTGAAAAACCTTTTTGCAACCTAAAGAATCTCAAAGTTGAAGCAGGATGAAGATCGTAGTGAGTTACAGCTGTGGACTTGAAAATATCCACCTGTTGCTACCATTGATTTCCCTTTACTACAGTAATAGCAAAGAAAGATGATTTTTCATTAGTTGGTAGGGGCACAGTACATTGCACTAAACTATATCATTTATTTTAAATGCATTTTTTTTTTTATCTAATGACAATTTTCTTGGCAAAATGTTACATTTACATACAAAAATATATTACATAGAAGTAAAATCATAATTTTTTGAAGATGAAATAGTTAAATGACCCATGGGAAGCCTAAATTCTTCATAAATAAGTATCTTTTCTCTAATTAAAGATTTTTTTTTCTACCTCAAATAAATACCTTCTACTGCCTCACAGTTATAACCAGCTGGAAGCTGACAATAGTTTGAGGAACTAGTATATGTGGGATAACTACTGAGAATTGACATTTAGGTTTAAAAAAATACTGTAGGTATAATATAAATACATGCATATACTGTAGTTATGATGATCTGTGTGATAAAACCTAAACAGTATCATAAATATTTAAATCACAAAAATGAGTAAACAATTGCACGGTAATGAAAGTACTGGTTGTGTTATGCCATATGCCTGTGTCTTGGTGCAGTGGGTTGCAGTGGGCAGAGAATGGCACTCCCAACACCCTAACTCAATACATACCCAACACTCCTCACTGCAGTGGACCACAACATGCGGTAACTATAATTTTGGCTCCATTTTGATGCACTTGTTCAAATTAATAGGCTGCTTAAATGCTATATCATTGCTGCAACACAAGACCATTTCTTAACGTACCACAACATGCCTTAATGAATGTTTGTTAACGTACCACAACCCAGCATATAGATTTGAAAGGGCCCTTAGTGATTGATGCCCATTTCTTATATGAATACCCATTTTACATATAAAATATTATATCTTGTTTTATATTATGCTGTTTTACTGCTTATTTCATAAACATACCTAATTACATCAGTTTCAAAGTTTTAAATTTTTTGGCAGTAATATGCAATGAAATGAAACATCACACATCTCCATCCTAGCAGATATGTGTAGTGAAAGTAGTTAATCATAAAATGGGTTTTCATCGAGCTTTGCTGCTTTCATATGACTCTGCTCTGGCCTGCAGCTCCTTCATCTTAATTGCACTCGCTAAAGATAGGATGCCTTTAATGCAAAATTATTTTTTAAATTGAATGTCAGAAGTAGAGCTGCTCAGATGATTCACGTTATTGGGAGAGGGAGGATTCAAAGGAGGATAAAAATTACATAAAACACCTTTGGGTGTTATTTAAAATTAAATCATTCATCCATTTTTTGCCCCCTATATTCCCTTTTGTGACATGAAAGCCACCAGCTATTGAAAGCTATAGGTCTGCTAGAAAATGTAATATTTTATTATATCTTTTATAGTAAGCCTATCTTTGTTGCTCTTCAAATTGTTTTAAATGTGTATATTGTATTTCCATTTATGCCTCTTGCAGGTGTTTTATGAAGACATTTGGTTACCTTTAGATAATCATCATTGTACTGAAAGCTTTGAAAACAATAATGCGTATTTTACACTAATATAAATCTTAATGGTGCAGATAAGAAGAGTATGATAAAAGAGTTCACCTCCAGGACCAGAAATTTAAGTTGGAGGGTTATAGAGCCTCAACAGATGCCACACTCATCTGCATTCTTCTACATCAGAGATTTAGCACTCTGAAGTACCCACATGGACCACCTACCAACACCATCTGAGCCCTTTCCTTTTTATCATAATTGATCAGCTGTGCTTATTTTTAAGGCCAGTTGCTATTTTTGTGTTGAGATAAGGATGGCTCTAGGGATGTCTGCTCAATTAACACATTCAGTCAATACAAGCATACATTTTCATGAATTATTATTATACAGGATTTATATAGCACCAACAGTTTGTTCAGCGCTTTACAAAATGAAGGTAGACATTACAGTTACAATACAATTTGGTACAAGAGGAAACAGAGGGCCCTGCTCATTAGAGCTTACAATCTAAGAGGAAGGGTTGAGTGATACAAAAGGTAATAGCTGTGGGAGATGAGCTGATGGAGGAAAAAAAGGCAGTTTACTAGTTAGAAGCAGGATAGGCTTCTTTAAAGAGAGGTTTTCAGGGATTGCCTAAAGGTGGATAGATGAGGAGATAGCTGGAGAGATTGGAATAAGGAGTTCCATAGGATGGAAGAAGCTCAGGAGAAGTCCTGGAGGCAAGCATGGGAGGAGGTGACATGGGAACTAGAGAGCAGCAGGTCTTGGGAGGATCAAAGAGAGAGGTTTGGTTGATATTTTGGGACCAGGTTGGTGATGTAGCTGGGGGGCAGAGTTGTGGATGGCTTTATAGGTTGTTGTTGTTATTATTTTGAATTTTATCCATTGGCCAGTGGAGGGATTGGCAGAGAGGGGTAGCAGACAATGAATGGTTGGTAATGTGGATGAGCCTGGCAGCAGTATTCATGATAGACTGGAGGGGGGATAGCCTATATAAAGGTAAGCCAATGGGGAGGGAGTTGCAGTAGTTGAGGCGAGAGATAATCAGGGAGTGAATTAGGAGCTTTGTGGTATCATTGGTTAAAAAGGGGTGTATGCTGGAGATGTTGCGGAGGTTGAGGCGGCATGATTTGGACAGGGAGTGGATGTGGGCCTGAAAGGATAGTTTAGAATCCAGGGTTACCCCTAGCATCCTGGCATGCGGGGATGGGTTGATCTTTAATCTCTCCCTCTCTGCGGCACTTTCCCCTCCCCTCTGAAACATGCACACATCACCCCCATACTTAAAATGCCCTCCCTGGACCCCAATGATCCAAACAACCTCAGACCCATCTCCCTGCTCCCATTTACATCCAAACTCCTCAAGTGCCTAGTCTACACCCGCCTATGCTCTCACCTCAACGACAACAACCTCCTCGACCACCTACAGTCCGGCTTCCATCCCCTACACTCCACCGAAACTGCCTTACTCAAACTCTCCAACGACCTGCTAACCGCCAAAGCTAATGGCCACTATTCAGTGCTTCTACTCCTTGACCTCTCTGCAGCCTTCGACACAGTCGACCACCCCCTCCTCCTCAAAAAACTTCACTCCCTCGGCCTCAGAGATTCTGCTCTCTCCTGGCTCTCATCCTACCTGTCACAACGCTCTTTCAGCGTTACCTATAATGCTACCACCTCCCCCTCACTCTCCCCCTCTCTGTTGGGGTCCCTCAAGGCTCCGTCCTCGGGCCCCTTCTCTTCTCCATCTACACCTCCTCCCTTGGCCAACTCATACACTCTCACGGCTTCAACTACCACCTCTATGCCGATGACACACAAATCTATCTCTCAACCCGCCACCTCACCCCCTCAGTCTCTGCCCAAATCACACACCTACTGAGCGAAATATCTGACAGGATGTCGCTCCACTTCCTTAAACTGAACCTCTCCAAGACCGAGTTTCTTGTCTTCCCCCCAGCCTGGACACCACCCCCCATTGACTTCTCCATCATGTCCAACAATGCCACCATCAAACCCGCCCCACAGGCCAGAGTACTTGGTGTCATTATGGACTCCAACCTATCCTTCCAGCCCCAAGTCCAATCTTTAACAAACTCATGCAGACTCCACCTCCGCAACATCGCCAAAATCCGCACGTTCCTAACCCCAAAAACCACTAAACAGCTCATCCACTCCCTCATCATATCACAACTCAATTACTGCAACTCCCTCCTTACTGGCCTGCCTCGCCGCTGGGTATCCCCGCTTCAGTCGATCCTGAATACGGCAGCCAGACTCATTCACCTTTCCAACCGTTCCATCTCCACCACCCCCCTCTGCCAATCCCTCCACTGGCTTCCGATTGCGCAACAGATCAAATTCAAAATCCTAACACTGACGTACAAAGCCGTCCACCACACTGCCCCGAACTACATCACTGACCTAATATCCAAGTACCACCCAGCACACACACTCCGCTCCTCACAAGACCTCCTTCTCTCTAGTTTCCTGGTCTCCTCCTCCCATGCCCGCCTCCAGGGCTTCTCCAGGGTGTCACCCATCCTCTGGAACTCCCTGCCCCAACCCATCAGATTATCACCTACTCTCCTCTCCTTTAGGCGCACCCTGAAAACCCATCTCTTCAGGGAAGCCTACCCCACCCCCTGCTAACTTGCTGACCTCCTCCACTCTTCCTACCACTCCATCCCCCACAGCTATCTCCTCCTGTACCACCATCCCCTCCCTCCTAG